TATATTTTTGAAAAAATCCCTTTGAACAACTCTCAGCCCTAAAAAAAGTGTTTAAGATACTCCGTAGTAATAAGGGATAATTTGACCTTGCACCTCGCTTTTTGGGTGATATTGGACTTTGCACCTCATTTTCAAAACTTTTAGACTTTGCACCCTATTTTCCCTAAAATGTCACTTTTAGACCTGACCCGGACCGGACCGGCCCGAGTCCATGCCTAGTCTTTGCCTTTGCACCCCTATTCAAGATTTTTTCTTCACAAATTATTGTAGATAGGGTGTAAAGTCTAAAAGTTTTGAAAATATGGTGCAAAGTCTGATATCACCCAAAGAATGGGCCGCAAACTCAAAATTAATAAATATGATAAATCTATTAAAGGCTGCAATTTAATTTGCAGCAGCTCCAATATAAGTTTATTCGCAGTAATAAATTAATAACCACTAGGAAAAATGCCATATGGCCTGCTATTATCTCCTCCTATTTTCTCCGATCAACTTTCTTTTTGGTCCTATAATATAAGTTTATTCACTTATAATATCCTCTTGCCAAGCTTGCATAGGTAAATATGGAAACTTGACCCAAATTGGAACCTTTAAAAACTCCTCACAATCAAATGTAAAACTTTCGGATAGCACTTTAAGGTATAGTGACTTACCGAAAAGTGTATAAGGTCCCTCCATCAAGACTTTGCTTCTCGCCTCTTCATTCTTGAACTTAAAGATCACCCACCCTTTGTCATACAATTTAGGTATGTTGGAAATCTCATACAATTTAGGTATCCCCAAGAAGTGTCAAAGATATATTAAAATATGATAAATCTCTTTAAGCAAGCGAATAAATTTTAATTTGCAGCATCATCTATTATATATTCAAAATAATTATAATTCTTACAATTTCCTCCTGTTGAAGGGAGTAGAAAATGGGGGCGGAAAACTCGGTGCCTGATAGAGCTAGAGATGGACTCGGGCCGGGTCGCCCGACCCGGAGCCGGTCCGGGATCGGTACTGTTCCGGCCCGGCTCGACCCGGTGGCCCGGTCAGTGACCGGTCCGGGTAGGCTCGGCCCGTGGTTTTTCCGATCCGGGCTCGGATCACCCAAAACAAGGCCCGACCCGGCCAAGCCAAAAACTATTTTTTTTTCAATTTTTTTTTTAATTTTTGGGTTGGGCTGGGTATTTTGGGCCATTTGGGGTGGTTTGGGGGGTTGGGGGTGGGAGGGGGGTTAATTAGGAAGAGGAAAACAAAAAAAATTAATAATGGGCCCGGCCCGGACCGGACCCGGTGGATACCCGGGCCGGTCCGGGTCCACCATTTCTGAACCGCCGGCCCGCCCGGGCCTAGGCCCAACCCGGACCCGGCCCGGACCCGAATCCATCCCTAGATAGAGCCTTTGGGAGGTAGAAATTAAAGGTCACTAGGAGAATCTTAAATAATGTTGAGAAGGTTTCCGATTTGAAGCAAATGACCAGATACAGTGAAATGAGAGAGGTCTAAGTAGGGATGGACTCGGGCCGGGTGGCCCGAGCCAGAACCGGCCCGAAACCGGTACTGTTCCGGCCAGGCCCGACCCGGTGGCCCGGTCAGTGACCGGTCCGGGTAGGCCCGGCTCGTGGGTTTTCCGGTCCGGGCTCGGGTCACCCAAAACAAGGCCCGACCCCGGTTCAGGCCCAAAACTATTTTTATTTTCAATTTTTTTAAATTTTCGGGTTGGGCTGGGTATTTTGGGCCATTTGGGGTGGTTTGGGGATTGGGGGTGGGAGGGGGGTTAATTAGGAAGAGGAAAACAAAAAAAATGATAATGGGCTCGGCCCGGCATGGACCCGGACCGGACCGGTCCCGGGTCCACCATTTCTGAACCGCCGGCCCGCCCGAACCTAGGCCCGACCCGGATCCGGCTCGGACCCGAGTCCATCCCTAGCCCCTAGGTCTTAGGGTGGACTGAGACAGTCAGCCTGATCTGGACCCAACCCAGCCCGATACTGTGCAGGCCCAATCTAACCTTACACTGTGCAGGCCCTACCCAGCCCAGTGAGCCGGGACCCGACCCGGTGGTTCAATAGGCGGGCTAAGATCAACATTTGGTGGACCAGCCCAGGTCCGATCTAGGTCCAATTAATTTTTTCCCAGTGGGCTGATTGCTAGGTGGGTGGGGCTAGGCAGTTCAAGGGGGTTTCGGGGTGGGGGATGGGGGTTGTAATTAATTCGAAAAGACAAAATTAAAAAAAAAAATTCAGGCCCGACCCGAACCCAGTCCCGACTAGGGATGGACCAAACCGGGTCGGCTCGGCCCTGAATCGGCCCGACCCGCCACTGTGCGGGCCTAGCCCGGCCCGTTTACGGAATGGGCGGTGCGGGCTTTTACCCGGCCCGGGGGAGGCTAGTGGTTCGGGCACGGTTCACAAAAAGGAAGGCCCGGTCCGGCCGGTTCGGGCCCGGTTCGGGCCAACGGCTATATTTTAAATAAAAAAAAATCTTTTGGCTACCAAACAGGCCCTTAGAGCCGTTGTGATTGAACTCAAACGGCTATATAGCCGTTGGGAGCCTTCCTGGGGTCCAGGGGTGGGTTAGGGGGGGTGGGGGTGCGGGGTAGGGGTACAAAAAAACTATAAATACTCCATTTTTTCTATACAATTTACTACACATCTTCTCCAAATATTCCTACTCTCTAATCTCTATTCTCTACTAATCTTCTCCATCTTCATCTTCTCAAATTTATAACTACATATATTATATTATATTTACATATATTGATATATAATCATCTCTAATTTATTTACTTATATTTACATTTTAGACATACTTAATATATACTTATAAATATTAAAGTATTATATATAAGTGTATTACTAATCTTATAGTAATATACTTATATTATATATACTATAAACATAATATTATATATTACTAGTTAATCTACTTATTATCTACTTATATATATATATATATATATATATATATATATATATATATATATATATATATATATATATATATATATATATATATATATATATATATATTAAGTATATCTACTTATACACTTATTATCTAATTGTTACATTTATTAATTTCCTATCATAGTAGTTAATTGTTACATTTATTAATCTCTTATCATAGTAGTTAGTTGTTAATTCGAAATTAATTATTTAATTCTTAAACTAGTTAATTGTTGCATTTATTAATCTCCTATAAAAACTAGTTAATTGTTAGTTTGTTACATTTATTACTCTTATCATAGTAGTTAATTGTTACATTTATTAATATCCTATAATATTTATATTCTCATTGAGCGTATTTTAATTGAGTATAATTTGATTAATAAGGTGTTTGCAATTGGTTTTGATAATGCTACTAATAATACTGCTGCTATTCCTAGATTGCGTGAATTGTGTGGTTCATCTTCTTTGATAGGTAGGTTTTTTCATCAGCGTTGTGCATGTCATATTTTAAATTTATGTGTAAAGGACGGCCTAGCGGCGTTGGGAGATGCTATGGAGGTGGTGAAGGGGGGAATTAAACTTATTTGGACTAGTTCTCAACTTAAGATGCAATGGAGATTTTTTTTTGAAAGAAAGACGTGTCAAATATTGTGCTTTTCCTAAAGATTTGTCTATTCGTTGGAATAGTACTTATAACTTAATTAAGGTGCTTATTAGATTTAAAAACCATTTTCCTGCTTTTTTAAAAGAATATGCTAACTATATTATAAACTCGGCCGACATCGACACTTGTGAAAAAGTTTTGAATGTTTTGGTGTATTTTAATAATGCAACTCTAACTTTTAGTCATGTTTATAAACCTACCGCAAACCAATTTTTTGTTGAAGCTGTTAATCTCGCCGGCGCTTTTTGTGAATTTGCTGATGCCGCTCACGTTAGTTATTTTTGTGACTTCATGAAACAAAAGTTTTTAAAATATTATTCCTATATTCTGCATATATATAGTATTGCATTTATTCTTGATCCTCATTTTAGACTTGCTGCTTTGGAGCAATGTTTAGATTACTATTATGCTTCTTTTTTTGGGTCATTGCCTATGTACGACGACAAAGCTATAGACCCGAAACAACAATTTCTAGAGGTTAGTAATTTATTATATCAATTATTTAATGAATTTCATGCACAATATGGTAATGCACCCCCTCCCCCGCCACGAACATCTTCTTCATCTAAAGGAAAATCAATTTTGAAATTTGCATTTAGCAATTTTATGAAAAAAAGTAAATCGACTCCGGTTAATGAACAAAGCTCGATCAACAAGCTTTCTTTGTATCTAACATTTCATGTTGAGTATGAAGAAGGTGATGACTTTGACGTTCTTCAATGGTGGAAGGAAAAAGAGAGAACGTTCCCGATCTTATCAAAGATGGCTAAACAAGTGCTAGCAATGCCCGTATCAACAGTTGCTGTGGAACAAGAGTTTAGTGCGGCCGGCAACATCCTAACGGATTATAGGACGAGATTGAACGCAAACTCTCTTGAGACGCTTGTTTGCTTCCACGATTGGTTGAAGGCCAAACGTAGAAATCAAGAAATTAGCATTAAACCCACCCGCCACTTTATGCAAGAAACAACTGAAGATGGCGGAAATTCTGATTGATTCTTATTCATTAAAAAGTGTATTTCATGTTGTAATTTTTGTTCAATTTCCAATTGTATTACATATTTCAAATTAATACAGTTTAAATTTTTATGCCCAACTAATCTGAATTTAAAAAAAAAATAGCCCAGGCCCGACCCGACCCAAAACCCGGCCGGGTAGGCCCGACCCGGACCAGACCCGGTATCACCTGGGCCGGTTCCGGACCCATCATTCAACAAAAAAAGCCCGCCCGGGCCCAGCCCAGGTCCATACCTAGTCCCGACTCCCGGTACAAACCAAGCCGGTACCAAGCAATTTTTTGGGCCCGGAGCCCGCCCAAATGCCCAATCCCGGCCCCGAGCCCGGTCCATCCCTATAGAGGTCGCTTCAAACAGATGAAGCAATATTTGGACTCATGGACAGAGAAGATAGAAATAGACATAATCACATTAATGAAGACCGATAGAGAAAGGGAAAATTAAGGTTTGAGAGAAAAGAAGCCGTAAGATGAATAGCTAAAAATGCAATAATAAAGACGAGCATTTGCTTGGCTCGATATCTCAAACCAGCAACATATAGAACAGTTCGAGAAGATGCATAGTTCTTGACCGAATAAATTAACACCGTGAACAGGTTCACTGCAAAAACATCCCACGTGAAAAAGAGGGGAAAAAGACCTCTACTACATAGCCACTTTGCATAAAGTGATGGTCTTCAAGAGCTGCCTTGCTTCGTAGACTGGCGCAGCTCAGGGCGAACGAAATCCGCATCTGCGGGCACAGATATATCAACAGTGGGTCTCAACTGGGCACACACTTGAATGGCTCCATGCACGGGATCTGAGAGGAAGTTGCCGATGAGGTCCCTGTTGATGGGGGCACCCTCATCCACAGTGACAAGTGCCTGCTGGGTGAGAATATAGTCGAAACGCGGGGCCCATTTCCTAGACCCCAGCCGTGCTGTTGTTGAGCAGTTGTCGACCATGAATGAGACACCACGTGCGTGCATGAATGGGTTCAGTGAATCCACAGACTCTATCACACTCTCATTTATGATCTCTGAGTATGAGTGCCCCTTCTTCCTCAAAATCTCTATCTGTTTGCAGTTGATAAAAACACAAAGTTAAAGCAGATATGCAGTTAACTTTATTTAATTATTTTTGTCATCATTAAGATATGAATACAGAATTACTCCCTCCCGTTAAAAAATCACAGTACTACTCCCCTCAGTTCATATCACACCATTTGAAAGGGGATTGGAGTGATAAGCAGCCAATCTACCTTTTAGGACCTTACCTAAATGAATTTCATTAACAGCCATCCTCTCATTTATGCCCCCTCAGGGAAAAGGGTAAACTGAATTGAATAGTAATAAGGTAGATTTGAAGCAAAAAATACTTAGTATACATAGATTTAATGAATGAATGGACAAATCATCGGAGCAAATGTTTATGAGTACATTCTCAGTCATATAGAATGCCCATGAATACCCATCATAAACCCCAGGAATTAAGGGTGTAAACCGTGATTTAATCCGAAAAGGCTACGGTAGTAAATAGGCATCCCTTCATTTTAAAATCTTTATATCATGAGTTAATGACACGTAAATATAAACAAATGGAACTCACTTGAGCCATCATGAGTGCCACAAAGACACCAGCAGTGAAAGGATACAGCGGACCAAGATCGCCAACTGGGCGAACCGCTCGGACACGCTGACCAACTTTCCACATCCGTGTCTGATCAATTTTACCCATTGGGAAAGCTGGTAAACCCTCCTTTTCCTGTATTATTTACAGGGACAAGATTGTGAAATAAAAGTGAGAAAGTAAAATCCACTTTTCACAAATCAGTGCTTCCATAGAAACAGAAAGAAACAAACTTACATAAAAGCGACGCCCAGCCAGAACTACACTCCTGATTTCACTGCCTGTGGCTACATCTTCATAGCATTCGTACAAGATATCCATGCACGGATAATATGAAGCACTGTATGCATTTTCAAATTCTCTCTTTCCATCTTCACTCAACGAGTTGTACACAGCCAACATTCCCTATAGAAAAAGTAATATTATTAATTTACTACTCCCTCCGTCCCTTAAAGGTTTGCCAACAGCCAAGTTTGACTGGCACGTAGAATAATAAAGTAAAAACTGTGTGGTAGATATTTGTGCAGAGGAGAGAGAAATAACATGAGCCACAAATTGATTGATTAAAAGGGAAAGTGACAAAGTTTTTGGGACAACCAAAAAAAGAAAATTGGCAAAGATATAAGGGACGGTTTTTAAATAAATTTCCTCCGGTCCTAAATAAACTTAATAGTTTGACTTTACGGTTTTTAAGAATGTGAAATTTTTACTTTTGACTTTCGCATCATGCCTCTACAAAAAGGTGATTAAGTGTAGTGGGAGAGAGAAAGTGGGTGTAAAGTAGGTAATAAAGTAAGGGTATAGGGGTAACTTTATGTTAAAAACTTGCCAAAAATAGAAGTGTGAAGTTTATTTTGGACCTACCCAAAAAGGAAAGTGTGAAGTTTATTTAGGACCGGAGGGAGTATTATATTATGAAAAATACATGTATCACACTATCATGGAAACATCTTGAGATGGTATGGGCCAAAAGAGGAGCTTGCTGAAATCAGTTCATAAAAATTAGGGTATTTGAATCATGTAATTATTGGAATATGCTGGTAAGAGGAAAAACATGTAAAAAAGGTTTATTAAAAAATGAGTTTGAACAGTAACTTTATTAAGGTCGCGACTATCCATAATTTCCCTCAAATTTTCTTATCATTTTTCACAGTATTTTGTTTCCCTAGTCATTTCTGGGTTCCAAACGGATCCTTAGGAGTTAAAACAAACAACCAACCTGTGTTGATATGGTCTTAGAAACAATTCCAGTTATACACTCCACAGTATTCTTATAGGCAAGTTCCTCATCCATTCCATGCTCAGTGTACCTTCTAAACAGAGACTCCACAATGCCATGAACAGCACCAAGTAAAATCCCTAACCATGAATAAGGAAAAAATTATGCAAGAATTACAGTGTAGAACTCCAAAGTTCAATAGAGCTGAACTAGGATTGTCACTTACCCCGTTCGCCAAATATGTCACTCTTGTACTCCTGCTCTAGGGTAGTAGCAAAAGTAAAAGGAGAACCAAGGGCAACTGACCACCCAAGAGCAACATCAGTGGCAGTACCATCAATATCCTGCATAGTGAAGTAATAGTTGAAGCACATGCTATAGAACAAAAAATATCGTGATCCCATGAGAGGGAGGATAGAAGTGAACTTCCGAGACCTGGTGGACTGCGAAACTCGAATTGATTCCAGCCCCATTGATTTCTTTTCCCTGCACATACAGCCTCCTAACTGATGGGCCCATTCCTTTTGGACACACAGCTATAACACTGATGTTCTTAGGGAAGTCAAGACCCATCGACTGCAAATGGCCAAGAAGGAATCCATGTGATAGCCCAAGTATACTATTTGGCTTCATGTGTGAGAAAATCTTTTCATAGTTATCAGCCTGCAGGGCATTACAGATCTCAGAAAACTTCTCAGATTGAAAAGACAAGATAAAATGATGAATGCACAAATCATCTTCATTACCGTAACTATAATAGACTTTTCAAAACAAAAATTTACTCGTAGTACCACAACCATTAGGTCATTCCAAAAGTTCCAACTTTTGGTCCATGGCTGTCACCTTTTCCATCTTTTGGTGCATAATTATGGAGTTTTACCAATTATAGTACTTCCAACAACCTATCCAGTCAATGTGTGCATCATATCTGGAAGACTTTTGCTGGCTAAGTAACAGGAGTAACAAAAAGTGACCAGAGACTCATAATTGTGCACAAACAAATGGGGAAGATGAAATCCAGGTACCAAGAGTGAAAACTACTCATTTAAAAATACTACGAAGTCAGCAACATCATCATTACCTCAATGCCGCTAAGGCTCCCACCTACGGTGGGGTAAGGGGGTCGGATGTACGCAGTCTTATAGTCTTACCTTTGTATTAAAGCACAAAGAGATTGTTTCCGAATGACCCATAGTGAAAATCGCGTCGAAAAATACATGGACTGACTACTGCTTCACAATAAAGAAGTGAGACATTTTGCTTTATTCCATCATATTCTCAAGCCAAAAAATAGTGAATCTTTGGCTCCATTGCAAATAATGGAAATACTACGTAGTACGGAGTATATTTTAAACTTAGAGAGTTTAAGGATAACTTAAAAACTTAGTCAGTCATTGACAGTAAATAAAATAATAATTAAAAAAAAGACTGCTTAAGCGATCATATTTATAAACAATTGAGTATGGGCATACATTAAAATGTACAAGTCAAAGACATACAATAAATCATCGCAACTGTGGGACAAAACAGTTGAACATAAGACAGAAAGTTAATAGCTGAGGAATAATAGAAGTGTCAACCTGAGCTGAATCTGATATTAATAACAGCACAAGGTCACTGCCAGAGACAGTCTCCCATATATCCCCTAAGGTTCCATTTTCTTCGGTAAACCCAACAGCCCTTGCCTCATTAAAAGAGCGAGAACCCTTCCTTAAACCGATCTGAAAAATAAAGTGAATACTTAATTAGCTTCACATAGTGTTCAAAAAGGTTCTAGTCAGGTGGTGGCTGGTCGCCTAGTGCCTAGCCCATCTCACCTATGGTGCCTAGGTCTTCCTCTCTATTTGTGTTTTGATTTTATTTCCTGTCAGATTTATTATTGTTTATTAATGACTTTATAATATTTTGACAATAGAAATAACTATCTAATTATTAAATGTTACTCCCTCCATCCCATAAAACTTGGCGAAAGTTGACTTGCTCATGGAATAAAATGGTAAAAAGTGTGTAATCAAGATTTGTGTAGAGGAGAAAGAAATAACTTTAACCAAATATTTAAATGGAAATGGCAAAGTTTTTCGGGACAGCTAAATAAGGATAGTTTGCAAAGTGTGTGGTACAGAGGGAGTATATATTTGTAGTAAATTATAAACATTAAAATAATTAATAGAAAATTTTAAATAAGTGTTTTAATAACTAAATTTTTTATATGCAAGTAAATTTAAGACTAATTTTTATTGTAGGAATATTAAAATAAATTTAATAAAAAAGGAATAATTAGTTAATTATTAATCAAACGATGTTTTGCAACAAAACGGTGAAAAAAGATGGACCGGGAACAAATATATTCAGAGCCACCCAGGCACCTGACCGATTTTTCTAACCAGTTACATAAAAAATCAGGGTGTCAGGCCACCACCTACCACCTTATGGCGCCTAGGGGGAGCATATGCCATTTTTTAGAACAATGGCTTCACATAAATATATTAAGGGCCGCCTAGGCACCCCTAGCCGGCCCAAGCGTCTGACCAATTTTTCTAACCAGTTACATAAATCCAATGCAAAGGTTTTGTTTGAATTACTCACTTCCACTCATTCACTGCTTATATGTCATTAATAACTTCCTTATATTTTCTTGCTTAAAGAAATTGGGAATACAGGGGTACAACTGTATTAGTATTATCACCTTGACCACAATATCTGACTTTGCTTCTGCAAGAGAATCCCTCAAATTTTGAGCTTGAGCAGGGCCCTATCAATTATTATACACAATCAACAAAAAGATTTACTACAAAGTCACCAATTTATCATATCACTTTAGAAATGACAAGAAAATATTAAAAACATTGCTGCCCCCAGCAGCCACAATATGGAGAAGATTAAAACAGAAGATGACATACAAATACTTTTTATACTGATGAGAATCTATGTTTAATTTTGGGATAAAGAACAAATATGCTCTTGAACTATATGGCAGATAACATATTTACCCCTCATTTTTTTGGAATAATCAAGCTCAAAAGATTTAAAGTTCGAATAAACATAAGCTCGAACTATATAATACAGAACGTATATAACCCTCAACAGCTCAACTGTTGGACATAAAGGGTATATATAATTATATATATCCCGTAATATACAGTTGGAGGGCCAAAGGCTCACTATTTTGGCTTGGAAATATGATGAAAGCAAAAGGCTCACTAAACATTCTCTTTGTGCTTTAGTAACGATGATGATGATGAATATATAGTTGGAGGGTAATTCAGGGTATGTTTGTTCTAATTTTGAAAAGGAAGGTGAGGCCTTGAGGGGCCTATGCTTTCCTTCTCCCTTAAAACTATTACAACACGACGAAAAGACAAGCAGAGCAACCAATAGATTTTGATTCAAATATTACAATTAAAAAAGAAACAATTATAGAACAAAATTTCACCTGTGAGCCCCAGCCAATAACACCAATCTGCTTGATTCCTTTGAATGCATCCGGCAACAGGTTGAACAAATCCCTACCCCCTCTTACAATATACTGCACCAAAGCCATATAAAAATTCAGGAAAGACTAATCATTTCAACATAAAAATACATAAATAAGCACGCAATACTACCTCGTCGCGGCCCGCGAGGGAGATTTTCTCCTTCTTAAATAAAGAGGTCTCGAAATCGAGAGGGGGCTGCGCCTGGATGGTGGCTGGTGCGGAGACCGAGTGAGCGGAGAGGGCAGAGGCGGAGGCAGAGCCAAAAGAAGGAAGAGCTCGAGCATGAAGCCCTTTTAGAGAAGAGTTGGGAGAAGAAATGAATCTGATGCCGTGAGGGAGGACAGAGGTCGGAGGGTTTAGGGTATTACGGAAAGAGGAGTAAAAAGTGGATACAGAGACGGAAGTGGACGCCGCAGCCGCCATGAGTGACGAAGTTATCGGAGCTTCGGGAGGGGTGGGATGGGGCGAATGTGAGCGGTGGGTAGGTGAAAATTTGTTTCTTCCTGCACGGGTGGATTTTATATTTAAAAGGAGGCCAGGCAAATATTTCCTACTCCCCACAATATTTACGGAGTAATATTAATTTATTGTGTCACCCAGCTAGATAAAGCACTCAATGTACGGAGTATATCGGAAGTTTACTTTGGTATTATCGGAAAAATAAAGTACCACGTACTTATTAACATAAAATTGAGTGCTTTAAAATTTGAGTACAGTAAACTTGCATGTAAAATAATTAAAATTTATGCAAAAAATGAAGAGAACGAGAAATACTTTAGTAACAAATTTGTTAATTTAAATAGAATGGCAATGTTTTTTAGATGACCAAAAAAAAGAAAATTGACCATGTTTCATGGAATAGAGGTGGTTCTCTAGAATTTTAGAGAGAATTCTTAAAGAAGTGTAAAAAAATTTTAAAATTCAAAAATAGGACTATCATGTTTTTTATTCCTTGAATAGGAGTAAATTTCTGCCAAATTTGGCGTTACTAGGCTTTAAAACATGACATTTTTTTCCAAACTTGTCAGATTACTCCTATTCAGGAAATAAAAAACATGATATTTCTATTTTGGAATTGCAAAACGTTTTTGCTCCTATTTAGAGCAATTTCTAAAAAATTTACTACTAATTTCTTAAGTATTTCTTTTTCACTTATAAATTATAATACCTTTAAAAAGTTGTCGGAGGCTGAATAAAAAATAAAAAATATGTAGTTGGGAATAAAGAAATAATAGAAATCATAAATTAATTGATAAAAAGAAAGTGATACAATTTTCGAGATAGTTAAAAAAGGTGATAAAATTATAAAGGATGTATGTAATATATACTCCGTATAAATATAAATAAATATGACTTTCATATTGAAATGATTCTACACTTTTTTATAAGATATTTTAATTTTTGCTACATTTTTTTGTTTTGATAAGTTTTCCTGTTGCTTTTTTCCACTTCTATATTTTTTCTTTCATACTTTTCTATAATATCTTTACTTTTTCTACACTATTTATTATCCACACGGCCGTCTAATGAATTTGGAGGCTCCGGTTCCAAATGAAAAATTGAGGCCCCACATATGAATAAATATAAAATCACATATAATAACTCACATAGCTCAACAAAATTAATTGTGTTCAAGTGTTCATATAGAAAAAATCATGAGTTAAAATAACTACTCCCTCCGTACCTAAATAAACTTCCAACTTTCATTTTTCGTCCGTTCTAATTAAAACTTCAATTTTTCCTTTTTAGTAAAGAATTTATGGTTCACAACATTTCTTACATATTTCTCTCTCCTCTACACAACTCTCCACCACACAATACCCATTATCTTAAGAGAGAATTCCCCAAATAGGAGTAAAACATAGGCAAAATGCATAAATAGGAGTACCATGTTTTGAATAGGAGTAACTTTAGTGTTTGGACAAGTATACCCCTACCCAAGCCTCAACAACTTTTAATTAAATGTTTAATTCATAATAAATTCGGGAAAAAATCAAAAAATCATAAAAAAAAATTAAAAAAATTAAAAAAATTATAAAATATTAATAAAATAAAAAATTAAAAATAAAATAAATTTTTTATTTTTTAAAAAAAAATTAATAAAAAATAGTAAAACTTCATAAAATAAATTAAAAAAATATGGATGCCTTTCCCACCGCTTGTACTACCTCCTTGCACCACCACCTCAGGGCGGTGAAAAAAAATCCATTTTTCCTAAAAACTGCCTTTTCTGAAAATGCCAAAAACATGGCATATTTCTCTTTGCGAATGCCAATATTTTCATTGTTTTCTGCCATAAATATGGCATTCATAATGAACTTGGAATTTTTTTCCTGGTGACTGGAGGTGGTGGTGCTGAGGTGGCAGACGCGGCGGTGAATTTTATTTTATTTTTTTGAGTTTTTTATTTTTTTTTTTAAATTATATTTTTTTTTAAAAAAAAAAAATAAATAAATAAATTATTATTATCGAATAAGTCATAAATTAACTAGGTTAGGATTAAATAAGTCATATTTTAGAATTAACTAGGTTAGGGATATTAAGGGTACAAAATTAATGTTTACTCCTATTGAAGAAAGTTTTAAGTTTTACTCCTATTTGTGCAATTATGTTTATATTTACTCCTATATTGGGCAATTTCTATTATCTTAAACTTTGTACCAAATCTATTGGAAATTTTAATAAGAACGGAGGTAGTACATATTAATATTATATAATATAACTATATTGTATTACTAATATTAAAAAAATTGGTCGCCCCAATTTTGGTGGATCCTATTCTAGATAACCTATTTAACTTGCTAAAAACGGTCCTCATTACTTGTACTACTTTTCTTTAAAATATTGTGTCAAATTCCATTGTGACAAATACTTGCATAGGGAGAGAGTAACAAAGGTTTCCATAGAGATTAGTTTATCTACTCATATGGTCCAAAAGGTTGGTAGGGGATCTAATCGAAATGCAAAAATGGATTTTGGATCTGTCCTAACATATTACTATATACTCCGTATATTATATTTGTTTGGGGTTTTCCTCTTTTTGATGGCACATTTAAAATACTTGGATCCAATTAGAAAATTTAAACTCACTAATTGTTGGGTGTGTTTCGAAAAACAAAGAAAAATTAATAAAAATTAATTAATTAAAATGATTAAAGGAAAACAGAAAAATAGATGAAGCAGAATTAGCCAAAGCTCGTGCAACGCACGGTATCCTTAAAATGTATTCCTTGTCTCCCGGGATGCTAGGAGTGCTGCAACGATCGTTTCCCATGATACGATAACTACGAAAAATTGTTTGAGCACTCAAACAAATTGTTCCGGCGAACATGAACAAGTATGAACACCAAAGAATTTTTCAGAGAAAGCTGGTGGGTTTTTTAAGCTAGAGAAGTGTGCAGTTCGTGTATGAATTGTGTGCTTGTTGAAAACCACCAGCCAGCCTTTTATAGGGAAGATTTGTTGTGTGTTAATGACGTTTTTAATGGACATTACCATTGGACATCAATGTCCAGCACGTTGGCATTGAATGGTCCGTAAATGTCCATTTAATTGCATGAACGTTGGGCATGTATTGGCTTGTAGCGGCAGCAGCAGGGTCGAGCAGCCACTGCTCGGAGAGCAGCCACCTGCTGAGCCGCCTGCTCGGAGAGTAGCCACCTGCTCGAAGAGCAACCACCTGCTGAGCCGCCTGCACGGAGAGCAGCCACCTGCTGTGGGCATTTCAACGAGTGAACTTCAAAAATCAATTTCTCATTCACCCGTTATCGTTTTGAGTGTACCACATATCGAATTGTAGCCCTTAGCAAGGACAATCCGAAATCACTTTGACCCAACCCAACTCGGAAGTGGACCCCACTCAAATAATTGCCCCAAAATTACCATTTAATGCAATTTCTTAAAACATTTTCCAACAATCCCCCACATGAATGAAAATTGATTTTCGAGATTTAAAAAGGATACGAAGATAGGAGGACACGTTGTGTTCACCGGATGATCCTTGCATACGGAGAGGTAGGTTTTATCCTTTGAACCTTCCGCTGTAAAGACACGTTTATTTACTGGCTGTTTAGTAGACTCGATGTCCTTTAACTATACTGCCGTCGTGTAAACATTGATTTATCTTTACACAAGAACCTTTCAAATTTGTTCCGTTCTCATGGGTGTGCCCGTTTTGGCCATGGGTCACCGTCCTGGTTCTGCAAGAGTTTCTAAAGAAATGAGCCTTTACAGTTCTCCTTTGAAGCGTCCATCTTCTCTCTCACATAGGCGATTCTTTCACGAGTATCCCGCATACTCTTCCAATGTTATCGAGTAGATCAACATTTCAGAATCGTTAAAGCAAACGTTTTTGCTAACCTCGTGCGGGAGTCACTGTTTCAACGAGGAGTGGGTAGGAGTCTGGGACCCTCACAGTGACCATTCTTCGCTCTATAATTTAGTTGTCCCTTTTGAACCTAGGACCAACTAGGTTGGGTATCCACTATAGAACTTTTCAATTCACGGGCTTTAGTCCCATTCCTCGTGACAACTTCTCCACCAATTCTCTATCCAATGTCTTGGTTAGCGGATCCGCTATGTTATCATTTGACTTCACGTAGTCGACAGTGATAACACCCGTTGTGAGGAGTTGTTTAATGATGTTATGTCTACGACGAACGTGTCTAGACTTACCATTGTACATATTGCTCTGTACCCTTCCAATTGCCGTTTGACAGTAGCAATGTATGCACATTGGAGGGACAGGCTTTTCTCGACTTGGAATATCCTCGAGAAAATGGCGTAGCCATTCAGCCTCTTCAGTGCACTTATCCAAGGCTATTAACTCAGACTCCATCGTGGATCTAACTATTAACGTTTGTTTTGAGGATTTCCATGACACGGTTGCACCTCCCAAAGTGAAAACATATCCACTTGTGGACTTTGAGTCTTTAATGTCGGATATCCAACTAGCGTCGCTATACCCTTCAAGTACAGCTGGATATCTTCCATAGTGCAGTCCAAGGTTTTGAGTTTTTCGTAAATACCTCAAAACCCTTACTATTGTCTTCCAGTGTTCATCACCGGGGTTACTAGTATATCTACTTAGCTTAATAATCACAATGACAATATCAGGCCTGGTACAACTCATTAGATACATCAAGCTTCCAATAATTCTAGCGTATTCTACTTGAGAAATACACTCTCCACGTTTTTTGGTAAGGTGTACGTTTTTATCTAATGGAGTCCTTGTCTCTTGATAATCATCTTTATTAAATTTCATAAGGATTTTATCAACGTAATGGGATTGGCTTAGCGTAAGACCGTCTGGTCCCCTAATTATTTTAATCCAAGGATTAAAAAGTTGTTCTCTTCGTCTTAATCTTATTACTTATTCCTGATTCTTATTTTATTCAGATCAGATCAGATCAGATCAGAAAAGTTCAGATCAGATCAGATCAGAAAGATTCATATCAGATCAGATCAGAAAGATTCAGATCAGATCAGAAAGATTCAGATCAGATCAGATCAGATCAGAAGCATTCAGATCAGATCAGAAGCATTCAGATCAGATCATGAGCATTCAGATCAGATCAGAAGCATTCATATCAGATCAGATTAGTTCAGAAAT